AGTATAGGAGACCTTCACCACAGATTATTGGGTTATTCAGTTCATGTCTCCTCCTCTACTCTCTCTCATGCCGGTTGGCTTTCCACTCTCCAAGGACCCTCTTACATCCAGCTGATGAACTCAAGCCATCCAGGATCTTCAGTATAAAGAGGCAATAGAGTGCATCAAGGGTTTTATTCCTGGCTGTTTGTAGTATCAAAAAAAAGAGATGGGAAAGGCAATCTGTCATTCACTTTTCTTGTCTAAATTGCTTTGTCCAAGAACTACAAACACAACAAAGGTACAAGTTCCAAAATATACATCCTCTCACACTTTAGCCTTATCTCAATGAAAGTTTCTCTTCTCTACTTGCTCCATTCTTTATACCCCACTATATCACCCATAAAAATTATAATCTTGTGACTCTCTCCATTTATGTTAGTGCACCCTCTATACCAGACCTGTATATAATTTCCCAGTTATTAATTCTTATCCACATTTTCTCAATGGCAGAAATTACGATGACGGTCTTATGTGATTACTGTTGATATCTCTTCAGTGTTATTACTATGTTTTCTGCTGGATTTCTTTTAGACCTTTTCTAGTGGGTTGTGAGTTATTGTTCATTTTCTTTATTGTACTAAAAAAAAGAACAAAAAAATTGGAGACATTTTTGAATATGAATACACACATTTCTGTCTCAGATACAGAATCGTTTGATGTTCCTCCTATACCACTTCATTAGTCTGGCATTACCTGGCCATCATGGGGAGGCATCTTCCCTAAAGGACATATAGTTATTCTTACACAGAGAGGTAGAGTGTGAATTGTAGTCTGATGTTTTGGCTCTGAGGCTGAGTTTGTTGGGTATCAAGGGCAGACTGATTAGAATTTAGACTCATATATTTTCAACATCTCTCTTTGCTCAGACAGCTAATCATGAGCCTCGAACAGACATTCCATCTCCTGCACCTTTTTTGCAACTAGTATGCCAAGTTTGTAATGTTTTGAGTATTTCTCCTGTAGCTTATGAATCTTCTTTTTTATTGGGATAAAATAATGCATCTAATGACCCAGTCCTTCCACTTTCTCCAGACACTGCTATGCATGCAAGGAGATTTGCTGATCATTTGAGAGAGGCTACTGCCGTGCCTTGTCCTCCTCGTTTATTTGATCAGCATGCCTTGGCTTTTCATCACCTGGATAATCCATATTTGGACTCTCAGAGGCTAGATCCTCATCTTCCTATTTGGGCCTCTGTACAAGATGCCATGGTTTGCCTTAATTAATCAGTCTCAGTTTTCCAGAATCCATCTGTTACTTACAACAGTTTTTTATCATATTTGCAACTGTTGTCTGAGGCTTATCACAGATCTCCTGCAAAAATTTTGGATGTTCTTAGTCATTTATTGACTTTTACTGTGGTTAGGTTATTGGCTTTGGCTCTATCCTTGGTATCTTGGTTGGTTTGTTGTTGTGATCTTTTGGTGAGAGATTCCTTCCTGCTTCGGCCCTTAGAGATCTCAGAGAAGTTCCTTTTCTCAGACAGTTGATATTTGTTGGTATTCCCAATTCCATGGAACTTTGAGTAGATGTGGTCTATCTCCACTCTTCCATTTATACCCTGGCTTCTCAAAGGTATTCTGCAGGACAGTTTCCTGCATCTCCCATTTGAATTTTCAGACCTCTGGCTTCAGTGCCTTGATATATTGGAATACAAGGGTGATTTTTACTTTACCAGTTGGTATTCTCCTCTAGGGTGGAGTGCAGACTATATCATCGGTGACTACCTTATAGGGTCAGGCTCTGTAGAGTCTAGAGTAAGAGGGTTCGTGTCAGTACAGGAGACCTTCACCACAGATCAGTGGGTCATTCAGTTCATGACTCCTCCTCCATTGTCTCTCGTGTCAGTTGACTTTCCACTCACCAAGGGCCCTCTTACATCCAGCTGATGAGCTCAAGCCAATCAGGATCATCAGTATAAAAAGGCCATAGAGTACATTGACTCCTCTTTATTGTACTTCTGTTTCATCACCTTCAATGCTGTGCACACACAAGAAATTCACAGATCGATTTCCATTTTTCAAGGATCTTGTGTATGTTATCAGTGTTTTTTTCATTTGAACAGTCATCTGGTTTGTCTATATAATCAGATCCAGCCAAGTTGTCATTCAAACTTTTTATAGCAACCCTTGCTAATGCTCTTTGCATGCTCAGTAAGCTGTTATCATCATTATAAGTTGTGTGGTTAATCACAGTTGGACTTTTCAGTGTTTATAAACCTGTCAAAATCCAAAAATAATATTCATTATAATTGTGCTTAAAACCTGTCCTTAACAATAGCATACAAGTAATGAAATATGAAAATATAAAGAGTAAAACTTCACTATTAAGTTCAGATGCTGAAAGGAACAAACAAAATGTGGCCTGGGTGACTCCTAATAGTTTAGTTAACTATGATTTATTGTATAAAGTCCTACTTTCTTACTATAACATTTGGTATTACAAGTTACTGCCCCCCCAGTAGCACAGCAGTATGCCTGCAAACTTACAATGCTAGAATCTGGGTTTCGATATCCATGTTGGGCAGAGCACAGATAGGCCATTGTGTAGCTTTGTGCTTAACTTCAAACAAACATACAAGTTACTAAATGAGCTATGGTGTACCACATTAGGTTGGAAAATAACATAGGTTATTGATTTGAACCATGTATACTGTGCCAAAATAAGTCAAATGGTTCATCTCAGTGTTTACAGTGATGAAGTTGGATATGTTTTCTAAGTCCAAACAACACACGTTAGGTGTAGAAAAAATAACAGTACTTTAAAAATTGTAATTTTTTAACACACACACTATTATGATTATTAGTAACCTGTAGCTTAAGAAAGGATGTTCTCCAGCACAGCAGCAGTAGACAACAACATATATGTTTTATTTTGAATACAAATTGATGCCAGTTTGGTGAGTTACAAGGTGGTACATGAATTTGTTTTAATACTCCCTACTTTGTTTTATCTATTACATAAAGACAAAAATGTCGATGTAGTTGTGAGGGTTTTATGTATATGTGGTTACGGATTCTTCTACTTGTAGTAAGTGTCTGTGACTTGTTGGCAATAAATTTGACAATAAACGAATAGCACACACTCTACTTGTTTTAAAATAATGTATTCAAAACAAGTCAAACTATCTACAAAAATTCTTTACACTATGGATATCACAGTTGTATTTCATATAAAATAATTATCTTTTCTTGTCAAAGTACGCTTAGGTTGATACAATTACTTTAGAATCCAATGACAAGACAAACTATTTTTCTTTATCTTCTTTTCTCACAGTACAAAATCAGTACTTGCGCTACCTGAACTTGAAATAATTGGCTCCTTTTCATCAAAGTCTACACATATGGGTTAAATTACTTTAGAACACCTTTTCAGAAGACAAATTATTCTTATTTTTATTATACTGTGAAACTATAAAATATTGCCCATTATGGCTAATCACTCACACACTGGCTAAGTGGAAGTTTTCTTTTGCTAACTAATTTTCTGACTGAACTACACTTTTTCTCTACTTTACTTCACTTGACTTGTGCTCGCTTGGCTGCCTGTATTTATACGTTGCTCAACTGAGGCCTCAAACTTTCTCTAAACTATGCGAGTGGTGCTGTAAGGCAACAATATTCACTTAAGAATACGAGAAAAGTGCTGACAATTCGAGTAATGTGATGTCAACAGTATTAGTAAAGCCTAGACAACTATGTAATTGCAAACTCAATGTATGACTCGTATAGAGTTATGTAACGAAATTTGATACAACTAACATTTTTAAAACAATCTATCTTCAACACTCCTGCCATAAAAACTAAACAATCATTAAATGGTAACTCGCAAAATAAATTAGATAATAACACATACACTAAGCAGTGTATATACAACAGTCCTTTTGATTGTATTGCATCCGTAAGTTTTCATTTTGTTTGAAATGTCAATTGGGACTTTTTACTCAAGTACCTTTTTCAATTAGGACTACAGGGTACTAAATTGTAGTCAATGAAAGCAAATTGGAGCTGTAAAAATGTGGCTTTAGTATAGGATTGATGTCTGTTGTGGCTATTTAGTGACATCTTACTATACATAAGTAAACAATTCCTATACAGTACTTCCCTCTTCTCACAAGATTAGCTCATCCAGTGCTGCCCTCTCTATGCAATATTTTTATGCATGCCACAAGCCTTCTGCTCCCCCCTTATGGGAATTGAATGATTCCAACATGTCTTATTGTTCAGCTTCCATTTTATTATGCCCACCATACAGCATGTATAAGTAGCTAATGAGATAGCAATATTTTTAGCAAGTCTACTAGAGTGGCTCCTCCCACTGCACCAATTTTTTGAAAGCTCTTATCTAGTCCCACCTACTACTAATTAGTTACTGCTTATAACCAATAGAAAGAACATTTTCACCCCTACATAACTCTGACAGTTGTTTATAAATAGCTTGAAGGAGAAAATAATAATTTTGCCAAAACCATTGAAGTGTGATGATTTAGTCATAGCTCTGAACAGGAATGGGATTTTTTTTCACCCACATACAGTTTATTTAGATACCCGACTAAGTTACAGGGATTTTGAGTAAACTAGTACAGTAATTTGATAACTTTTGATCTTCAAAAATTCATATTGGAAGCATAAAACAATTTGTATCACTACCCCTCCACCCAGAAGAATAAACGAGGCTTATGTTAAGGCTTAGCAAGTTTGATGCAGGAGCACAACATTTTGTAACACAGTTACGTACTTGAAATCTTTGTTTGTCAGTGTATTTCTCATTTACTTTCTATGTTGTAAGAAATATAACTAAAATTTAAGCAAAACAAAAACTGTTTACATGGGAAAAGAGCAGACTTTTACCTTGTACATAGTATCAACTTCTTTGAAGAGTAACATTAGTGTGATACTCTTCAAAATGTTTAATACAGATAAATTCATTACACAGTGTACATTTTGTTGTTACTTTAGTTTCTTGGAGTCACAGTCTGCATCTCTTCATGTGACTTCTATCAACAGTTGTTGGGAAGTGCCTGCCAAGAGTAAGTCTCAGAGGTCCTGTACAGTTCTAGGGAGTGGTATACCAGAAGGACCTGGTCTGCATAGAAGTAGAGGCTCAACAAGATCTCTGACCAGGCCCATTCTGAAGGTCTTCTGGGATAATGCCACTGGTTGGTCTGTTGTTTGTACAAAATGTGAGCATTTACAATTGTGAAGTCCAAAATTTGAAAAAACAGTTTTCATACCATTTTATTGTCCTTCGTGTAGTAGAGTAGTAACTTAAGTGTTGATCATTTAGGTCCACTCCTCCCATAAACTTATTATAGTCCACAATTAACAGGTTTTGTAACCATCTTCTTGTCACAGTTGTCAAAGTACTAGAGTGTAAAATTGAAAGTGCATAAATGTCTCGTTTTTCAGTCCACTTTACAGCTGTCAGAGTTCCACATTTAAAAAAAATATGCTTCCCCTTTCTTTAGGTTTGTAGAAACCAGTT